AAATGCATCGGGTCCTACAGGATTTAGGATGAGCCCCTGAAAAACATTTACAAGAGGTTAACTCAGCTTTTTTCCTTGTGGAAAACATCTGCCAAAGCTTCTGATAGATATTAAATAATACATTATGTTTTAAATGGTATACATAAATGACATTATAAGCAAGTAAATTAACTAGTAACGTTCTTAACCAGGTATTCTTTTGACCTGAACCAGAAGAGTCTATAATCTCTGCAAAAACTGCCAAGAGCAGTACTAACTAAAACAAACCACACTGAGGCTGGAGCCAAAGTTACAATCAGGAAAGTGGTTAGCAGTGTGAAGGGACAAAAGTCAGCAAGGGATTTTTTTCCTTCTCTTTTTCGTAACATTACAATAGTTTTTTTAAAAAAAGGAAAAAAAAGGCAGCACCTATGGCTCAAAGGGGTAAGGTGCCGGCTCCATATGCCGGAGGTGGCAGATTCAAACCCAGCCCCTGCCAAAAACTGCAAAAAAAAAAAGGAAAAAAAAATCCGAAACCAAACCATAAAAATGTCAGATACGTACTTGACATTTATTATGATTTTTAAAAATCTAAAATTGCTTTCAAGGGTAAAAAGAAACTATACATGGAATATCATGCACTTAAAGAAAAGAGGAGGATCCAAAAGTAAACCACCATCATCAAAACTCTGCTCAGGAACTTCAAACAATAAAACTCAATGAAAATAAATAAATAAATAAGAAAATGTGTTCCTGGATAGGAAGGAACAACTCATAGAAGGCTATGTGACAATTAAACAACACGTTTTGGATGGTCAGCACGCTTAGAAACATCAACATTCCCCGGAATTCTGTCTTCCCTTTTCTATTTTCATTTAGTCTCTAAACTCCTATGGCATAATTTAATCACATCATTTAGTCTCGCCTAATGCACTAACTTCCAGAACTCTCAAACCTATCCTTACCTCCCTATTCTCACTGCCATTATCTTAGTTTAATCCTTAATTACTTTTCACATGTTACAACAACCTCCTCTCACTGATCTCCCAAAGTGCATCCTTATCCTTTTCCAATCCTTTCTTAACATGTCAGCTGGAGTGACTTTTCTCAAACTCACACCCAATGTGATCATATCTCTTCCCAGCTTAGTTTCTTCAAGGGTTCTTTGTCACCTAGCCCCCTTAGCTGCTTCATTTTTCATTGCATTTATCACCACCTGACATAGTAATATTATTGTTTGGTCACTGCCTCCACCCCAGCTAGAATATAAGTTCCATAACAATTGAGTTTTTGTTCACTGCTATATGTTACATGCATGAATAAGTGAATAAATAAATGGACCAATGACCGACAGGCCAAAGGCCTCCAGGACCTGTCACTGTCCTCTTTTCTTTCCTCCCAGCTCTACCAATACTGAATTGCCTAGTTACCTAAATACATTATGCACTTTCATGCCCCCTTGCTTTGCCATATGCCATTCCTTTTGCCTGGAATATAAGCTCTTCTCACCATCCAATCAACCTACCAAACTATCATCCACATTTTAGAACCTTCTCCAGAAAGCTTCTCCTGACCCCTTTGATAAAGTACACCCAATCCTCCTTTCCTTTGTGCTGCATCTGTACCTGTAACTACAATGGCTCTAATCGAACTGAACTAGAATGTGTTTCTCCCTTCCTAGACTGTGAATTCACTAAAGACTATTCAATCCACCTACCCCCAGTGTCTAGGACAGCATCTGTCATAAATCAACCACTCTAATGTTAAATAAATTAACATATGAATGACTATTCTGCAAGAGGAATGAAAGATGGAGTTTCAAGAAGCCACTACTCTGGAAGGCAGAAGCAGGATTATTTGAGCTTAGGAGTTCAAGACCAGCCTGAGCAAGAGGGAGATTCTATCTCCACTAAACAAAAAAATTACCGGGGTTGTGGCAAGTACCTATAGTCCCAGCTACTCAGGAGGGTCAGGCAGGAGGATCACCTGAGTCCAGGTGTTTGAGATTGCTGTGAGCTATGATAATACCACTGTACTCTACCTGGGTTGACAGAGCAAGACTCTGTCTCAAAAAAAAGTCATTACTGTAAGTCCATGATGAATTTAAGTATAACCAGTCACGAGATAAAAACAATTGCAACCAAGACCATCATCCAAGGTAAAAAAAAAAACTGAGAGAGTAACATACAAATCACCACAATTCCAAAATGATTGCCATACAGTCATGCTCATACTTTATTCAATATCTGCTCTGGTTCTTTAATTTTTTTTTCTTTGAGACAGAGTCTCACTTTGTCATCCTGGGTATAGTGCCATGGTGTCATAGCTCACAGCAATCTCAAACTCCTGGTCTCAAGAGACCCTCTTGCCTCAGTCTCACAAGGAGCTGGGACTGTAATATCTGCCACAATGCCCAGCTCTCTAGTTCTTTCTTGCTCCATCATTTGCCTTCCCTTTAGGCTCAGTTCTTTGGCTGGCAACCTGAGGCCCAGCTAGGCCACAGGAGGTAGCAAAAAGACCTGAGTTCTCCATGAATAATCTATCAAGTAGATCATCCTATAAGAAGCTTTTGATAAATCATCTAATACAGTTTTTGTGTTTCCTCATACTTCGACTAAATTTCAAAATACTTATACAGAACGAGATTTTACCACTAACCATCTAAGCCAGAACCAAAGACCACAGCTTCCCACCAGCTGTAACCTATGTCATAAATGATCACAGTTGTGCCCAACGTATTGATGCCCTCAGTCTTTGGAACAGTCACACAGGGCACCTCAGACATGGGAAGCCTCAGTGTGTCTTACAAACATGAGTCTTTTTCCTTGGAATAATGGAGACTAGGACCACTAACTTCAACAAAAGAAAAACCTGCTCTCTCTGAGAATATGAATCTGCTCTCCCTAAGAATATGAATATGCTCTTCTAAGAATATGAGTCTGCACATAAATGTATAATCACACACAGATACTTACAAGGGAGTGGACATAAAGCCAGTATATGAAGCCATTTAGAAAAGTTTAAAAGTTTGAAACCCAATGACATCTATTACAACATTAAGTGAAGCCAAGAGTCCAAGACATGATCCTTGATTCCTCTCCCACCACCAACCACTCAGCAACCAATTTCTGGAAAATTTATCTCCTAATATTTTCTCAAATATATTACCTACTCCCATTATGCTTTAGTTCAGAATTCCAGCATTTTTCATTGGTATAACAGTCTCCTAATTGGTCTCTCCTTAGGCACAATTAAAACTGCCAACTACGAATTGTTAAGAGGCTAAATAACAGGCACTGTACTAAGTACTTGATGGTTTAACTCTTTATTTTTCAATTCTTACAGCAACACTGCAAAGTAGGAATTATTGTTCTCATTTTTACAAATGAGGAGACCGAAACTCTGAAAGAGGTTAAGTGACTTGCCCAAGGTCATCCAGCTGAAATTGTGTAGCAGAAATTCAAACCCAGATCTATATTCCCAATCATTATATTACTAAAGTGTTCAGCCTTCTTCTGTTTGGTTCCAGTGTGACCTTCCTAAAAGGTAAATCTAATTACATTTTCACCCACATAAAGTCCTATAAAACAAGATTCACCTCTCTAGCCTTCCTCCTATCTTCTCACCTTGTTCTGCCACATTTAACTCCCGGCAGTTTCCTCATCTGTCTCTCACTTCTTCACCTGTAAACATACTGTCTGTCTGCCAAGAACACGTCTCCCTTTTGGCAGACTATCACAATTCAAACTTCAAGATTTACTCAGATAATCCTTAATCAGGGAAGCCCTCGCCCTCACAAACATACACCCAAAACTGGGAAATGACCATGTGCTACAGTTAGCAGCTACATTTCTGATCATTATAATAACTATTATCATTTATCTACATAATAACTTTACCTAGTAGATTATTAGTTCCTTAAGAGTAAACACTGTATTTTTCAATGTATGTATTGCTATACAGTGTGTATGTTGTAGAGTAAGGACTCATGTACATTGAATTAACAACTTAATTCATCAGAAGCAGTATAGCTTAAGAATTTGGACCTGAAGTCAATTTGACGTGCTTTCAAATTCTAACCTGCCACACTACATACCTGCTAAGCCTGCAGCAGACTCCTTAGTTTGCTTTGGTTTTGTTTAATTTCTTCATCTGTAATTGGGAGAAAACTACACCTACCCCATAGCTTGGAGAGGAATAAAAAATAAAGGATTTAGCATAATCCCTAGCACATTGTTAAGTGACACATTTAACAGTAGCAACATCTTTTTTCACTCTCAGTTTATCCACGCTGATAAAGGTACATCTCAGAAAATAACTTCCTCCAGTAGCTTTCATCAAAGATTTAAGATGTGCTCAAAAAGTTGGAAGTCAAAATCTCTTACATCCCTCATACACAGACTCTCGTCTTTTACTTCTGGTTACACAGAGCTCAGTAGCTTTACCACCCACACCCTAAATCATCAACTAATGTTTGTGGCTTACTGCTTCTTACTCAGTGGTTTCCTCCTCCCTCAAAGTTCAGGACCATGCCCCTAAGCAAACAGAAACTACCCCACAGAAACCAATCAGCACCTTTTCCCAGGGCACCAACTGTTCTACCCACACCAGGCTTTCACGAATCAGAGAACCCTGTAATCATTTAGTACAACTTAAATCTCTTTGGAGCACAGAAGAACCCCTGCTACCCACCCAAGCCCCCAAAGTATTCGTTCAAGATAGAGAATGCTTGGCACTAAAAACGCAAGAATAATACCTTGAGAGCCTTTACCAGCAAGTTTTTCAGATCTGTTATCTTAAAATAGTGACCAAAATCCACCATCCCATCCTCCCCCCTTCCTAACAGAGTCCAGGGTCTCCCTCACCCTTCTCTTGAAAGAGAGGTGGGTCCCTAACTTTCAGTAACCGAGATGCCTTCCACGCAGCCACATCACCTCCTTTCCCACCTCGCCTGCGCCCTCCGACCGCACAGGCCTGGCCTGGTCCTTTGCCACCAGTTCCTTCCCCGGACCGCTACTCACCGTTTCTTGGGGATGATGCCCGACTCCTGCGCGGCGGGTGTGGCCGTGGGCGACGCCGTGGCCGCCGACGCGGCTCTCCGCGCTTTACACTCATTGGTACTCAGAGCTTCCCGGGGCCGGCCCAGCAGATGGCCCGAGAGAACCCGCAGCCTCCGCCCGGCGCGGTCCGGGTCCTGGTCCCGGTCAGCGGCAGAGCCGGAGCTCGCGCCCGCGATCGTCCCGCCCGCTGCAGCCGCCGCCTCCGCCATGGCTTCCGCCTTGTGCTGCCGCCCGGGACCGCTGGGCGCAGGTGAAAGGTCACTCGGAGCGGCGCCCGGCGCGACCATTCGCTGCGGCGCATCCCAGCAGCCACCGCGGCGCCTGGGCGGCGGGTGCCATGCGCCCCGAGCTTTACATTCTCTGCCCCCGCCCACCGCGCCCGCCCCCGGCTCTCGCCTCCGGCTGCCTGCACCTGCCAAGCAGGTGAGTTGGAGCCGACGGGTCCACGCCGGACTAGCTGGACCAGGAGCCAAACCACAAACGCCCCATAGTTGGCCTAGAATTTGGGTGTGGCCTAGGCTTCTGGTGGCTCTTTCGGGGGCAGATGCCTGGGAGCAGAAGGAGTGGGCGGTGCTACTGGACCTGAAAACCGACCCAGCACCGTCCGTTTACTGAAACAGGCTATAGTGTTCCACCAATGCTCTCCCTCCCAGCAGAGTCACCAGAGTATCTGAAAACTGACTCTCATTGCCCCTAGCATTTAGAGCAAATAGCTCTATCATTTTCTCATCTTCGTCCCTGGCACTGTACTTCATGCTAAATCACAAGTAAGTGTTCTCTATTTTACAGACGAAAAATAGGAGATGATTTAACTTGCCCAAGAGCAGGCAGAGAGTAAATACTAAAGCTAAGTTGCAGGTTAGTTCTTTTTCCGTTCATTACTGGGTTCTACACCCTTCCTAACCCTAATGGAGGCAGTTTTTTATTGCTACAGATAGCAATTACCCAACAACTGTTCTTAAAACTTCTCACTTATTTACAAATTGACTTCATTTCTGGAGGCTGGCACTTGGTGAAATCAGAGCAACTCATAGGACAGTGCTCCACAGCAGTTTTCAGTCAGTGTCTTGCATAAAATGAGCATAAATAAAAAACTGCCACGTACACTGTCGGTTGTCATTCTCCATCCTGTCACTACCTTTACACGTTTTGTCTTCCTAACAAAAAGAAAATACAGTAGAACCTCCATAGGTGACTAACTCCCAACATTGACCACCCCCTTAAATTGACCCAATCTTCATAAACCAGACATGCACCACATGTACCTAGCAGTACAGTGGGCCTAGTTCCTTACGTTGACCACCTCATTACAGTCCCTTAGGCGGTCACCTTTCAGAGGTTCTACTGTAGGAATCTGTAGAAGGCCACATCCCGAGGACTAGAGATTGAGAACTGACCTCTAGGGTCTCTTGCCAGTTTATATGGCGTCGCACTCTCTAAAGCATGTATTTTATGGCCTTTACAGGTCTTACAGCCTTTGAAATTCATATACAAAGAAATGCCAAGCTACATTTTCAATTCCTTTCTTCAGCAATCCAAATGTCTAGCAGTAAAGAAGTGGTTAAATAAATTACATCAATATGATAAAGTATTTTTGCAGCTATTAATTTAATACATCTGTGGAAACATGGGACATTCTTAGGAAGTTGTTAAATGTAAAAAATAGCCATTATTCTAAGCATTTTATACATTATCCCTTTACTCAGTCTTTGAAAAAACATAATGACACAGGTTTTATTATCCTTGTTTTATAAATAAAGGCTTAAGGAGACGAAGAGACTTCTTTGAAATAGCTATATGTTATCTCCAATACTGTATAATTCATGTTATTATCTTTATTCCACCATTAGGGTTTTGAGAACATTATGTGTTAAAACTTACTTCTCATAGACCTGGGGGGTTTTTTTGAGGGTTTTTTTTTTTTTTCCAAATTCTAAATCTGAAACTTCCTACAACAAATGTTCACTTTAGGTATAAACTATAGTCCTAGTTCCTAATGCTTATGGGATTGAATTCTAGGAAGAATTTCAGAAATTGCTACCACAGTTATCAGGACTTCATTCATGGGGTATAAGAACATCAAAAATATGAGAGACATATAGCACTCTCCTAAGTATTTCTAACTTAGAAAGAGAATCTTTAGTTGGTCTTACATAACTAAATATCAAAGCCTGCAGGCTATCTAGTTTCTTACTTTTGCACAGAGTGGCCTTGTTTTGTTTCATACCCTCACAACACAGCAAAATCTGTTTCTGCTCAGCATTTTCAGGATCCAGTTGATGACAAGAAATGTGGCTTTATGCTTCTGCACATTTGATAATGGAGGGGAGAGATCCTAGCTCCCTTTCCTTTACTTGACCTCATTACCTATTAAAGGATTTACTCTTATTTTGAAAATTTAAAATGCTACGTGCCTTCCGATGTCATTTACATATTCCTAGTGGTCTTTTTGTTTTGGCTTTCCACACTCATATCCACTAGCCTGATAAAACAATCTCTAGAAAAGATTGAGGTGGCTCAATCTAAGAATTAGTGAGCCAAGAATGTTCCTCCATGCTGTCCCCTAAGTTTATCTAGTTATTATCTCCATTCTCTCATGTTTTATCTCCTTTATCTTTAAGATTCAATCTCAGTGCACTGGTTGAATTGTTACAGAAAGAAATAATAACAACACTGGTGTAGACCTGTCAGTTATTGAGTTGAGATTCCCACAGACATTGATTTTGCAAGAGTATAATTTCTTGATTCTCTCTGTGCTTCCTTGGATGGGGCAGAAACTGAATTCATCATTTTACCCCTCCATTTGTGCCTCCCTGTTGTCCACCAGTGGCACCATTGTCCCCTAGTTTCATCAGCTGCAGTATTATTTTTACCCTCTTTCTCTTTTGTCTTTTATATTTACCCTATCAACAGTACATTGTCCTCTGTGTCTCTTAAATCTATTGTTTCCCTGAGAATTCATGTGCACTTTTATTTGTTAATTAGCTTTTCATTTGAATATGTCTGTTTCTCCCAACAGACCATAAATGCCATGAAGGCAGAGTTCATATACTACATAAGAATCTGACACTCATACGTAATTTATAAGTGACTTATAAATTTGAATTTGAGGGAAGAGAATGGAGCCACAGTCCTCATAGGAAATATTTTCCCCCAATTGAAAATGCTGTGCAAAGTGATTACATAGAAAAGCACTTTCCACAATGATGGAAATGTTCTATGTCTGTACTTTCTAATACAGTCACTACTAGCCACATGTGACTATAAGCACTTGAGAAAGCGCTATGGCTGAGAAACTAAATTCTTAAATTATATTTTTAAGGGCAGCGCCTGTGGCTCAGTGAGTAGGGTGCCAGCCCGGGTCAAACTGCAACCAAAAAATAGCCGGGCGTTGTGGCAAGTGCCTGTAGTCCCAGCTACTTGGGAGGCTGAGGCAAGAGAATCACCTAAGCCCAGGAGTTAGAGGTTGCTGTGAGCTGTGTGACACTGCCATGGCACTCTACTGAGGGCAATAAAGTAAGACTCTGTCTCTAAAAAAAAAAGTTAAAAAAAATCATATTTTTAATTAAATGAGAACAGGTAGTTCATGGTGACTATATTAAATAGCACAGTTATAGAGTTCATAAGTTGTTCATACCTGGAGATTCCAACTCTACCTACTTCCTTTCCCTCGCTACTGTTATAACCCTACATTGGGATATGGAGAAAATAATATGCATGGAGAAATATTTATCCCTTACTTACTGATCTAGGACTGTAAGTGTATTTTACAAAAAAATCCTATAAATGATTAGGTGTGGTCAAAATAATACAATTTCCAGTTCATTATGGATTCCATAGCCTTTTACAAGCCCCCTTGCAGATACGACCATCAGAAGTAAAGTTCCTTTTTGCATATTGTGCTATTCAAAGCTAAGTCTTGGTAAGAGAAGTATTGCCATAAAGGTTCCAGCCCAAGTGAATTTACCTCCTGATGAGCCACCTTTCTAGCATAGGCTCTGTGAAAAGGTTAAAACATTCCAAGAATTATTTGACTAATACAAAAAACTATCCAATGCTTCTGAGAAAAATTCAGACAATGGGAATAGCTTGGTTAGCATGCTAGATCTGCAGATCTTAAGAGATTGTTGAGCACTAGCTGTCCAGTCCAGTTCTAGAGTCCCTGAGCCCAACTCCTGTTTAGCTACTGCTTCTAACAATCGTGCAGTATTCTTCCTAGGGAAAGTGATTGGCTGTCTCTCTTGAAGTGAGGAAAGGGACAGGTGGAGCAAATGACTGAGCGCCCTAAGGAGAAAAGCTCTTCATGTCTGACAGTTCAGCAACTCTATTTCTTGAAACTTCTCACACCCTTTCCAGATGTTATTTGGACAGCATTTAAACACCAGCTAGCACGTATGCTTACAATCATGTAAAATTCATAAATTTCTTGCCAAAATACTGTATAAGCCGCAGTGTCCTCAGATTATTTTTGGAATGAGTTGAGTCTGTTAATTTCTGCCTGACTCCCCAAAGAGCTCTTTCTAACACTGCCAGCATACTTAAAATGTAAATGTAGTTAACTACCTTCTTGTCCAAACTGAGGTACGAACATGTTTCTTGCCAACTCTCAGAAGGCAAGTTTATAAATGATGTGGCAGTAGAAAAACTACTGGTTATATATATTTCAAATGTGTTCAATAATGAAAACATACAGGCAGTAAAAGCATTTGTTGAGGGACTGTTACGTACCTAACTCGCTACTAGGTGCTATGAAATGCAAAAGTGTTCAAGCAGTTGGCTCATCTACATGATGTAATCAGATTAGTTAGGAGTCAGGATATATGTGGGGGGCGGGGGAACTGAGTGATGTTACTGGTTGAAAGAACCATGAGAGTAACCTTAGTGAAATGTTTCCTGTCACCTCTGTAAAAAGAAGAACCTGGCTTGGCACCCATCACTCAGTGGTTAGGGCACTGGCCACATACCCCGAGGCAGATGGGTTTGAACCTGACTTGGGCCTACTAAACAACAATGATAAATGCAACAAAAAAATAGCTGGGTGTTGTGGCAGGTACCTGTAGTCCCAGCTACTTGGGAAGCTGATGCAAGAGAATCCTTTAAACCCAAGAGTTTAAGGTTGCTGTGAGCTGTGATGGCACAGCACTCTACCAAGGGCAACACAATGAGACTCTGTCCTAAAAAATAAAAAAGAAGAACTCAAGCACAGTATCTTGTAATTTATTTTGTGCTGCCTTAAAGGAACAGATGTTTC